AAGTATCTCTAATTTATTTATTTTAATTTTTATTTTGCAGACAGAATTTTTTTTTAATATCTTCTCTTTTCCTGAACTCTTAATGGTGTGTAACTGTGTTACTAAAATCTTAGAAGCTGGGTACCTGAGGAAACTCCTGGAAAGCTCCCATCGTTTCTTGATTTCTTTCAGAGGAACCACCAATCACAAGCAAGGGCCTGAAACAGTCATTTTTTAAAAAGATAATTACAAATGAAATCATCACGTGAAACACTCAGTAGAGTGTTCAATGCATAACAAACACTCAATAAATGGTAAAAAGAAAGAGAGGGAGGGAGAAAGAATATTATATTTTCCCTTTAAAACTGCAGATTAAAAAATGTTTAGGAAGCAACCTGATGTGAAAGAACCCTTCCTCAATTTCAGAAAAATACAAAATTTACAGTATATGTTTTTCCTTCCCCCCCTCCTGCTGCCCCTTTTAAATGCTGATGCTAAACTTCAAGGTATAGTGACATAAAATGAATTTTTACATCTTTCCTATTATTCTTGGGATAAGGAGAAGAGAAAATTTACACTTTCCTAAGTGAGTCTATTTGGAGATGGCAGAATGTGTGACATTTCTCAGCAATAAAATTCTTATCCTTCAAATTGAAAAAAAAAGATACAGCAAACCTTAAGGTACTCAAAAAATATCAGACCATAATTTGCCATGGGATTAGTTTAAAAATATATATCAGACCATAAGGTAGGTAAGGGAGACAAAGACTAGAAAGAAAGGAAGGAAAGGAGGAACTACAAGAAACACAGGGTGAGTGCTTGCTTCGGCAGCACATATACTAAAATTGGAACAATACAGAGAAGATTAGCATATTAAGAAAAAAAAAAGAAACACAGGGTGAGAATATACACAATGCCCCTCACACTAGGATGATTACAACACAAATTGATTAGAACCTAACCCCCTTCAACCTGACCTTACTAGTAAAGTACCAGAGATGGGTTAATGGCAAGGTTAGAAAATAAGCAGTTTATAAAATAAACTAATATAAGAATTTCAATTGTCTTGCTAACCATACAAAACGAGGTGAAAAATTAGACATATTTTACATACTGAGCTGGGATTTTTAAAAAATAATCTTTCACTTAAGTAAACAGAACTATGTACACATTCACATAAATACATACACATATATATATTATACATAACGAAACTCTAAAATGTTAACAGTGTTTATCTCTAAGTAAAGGTATTATTGGTGTTTTTTATTTTCTTCCTAATACTTTATTTTTCTTGTATATATTTAAGGTATACAACATGATGCTCTGATATACACATACGTAGTAAAATGATTACCACAGTCAAGCAAATTAACATATCATCTCACGGTGACTTTTTTTGTTGGTGAAAGTACCTAAAATCTACTCTCTTAGCTAATCTAGTACACAATATAATATTATTAACAATAGTTCTCATGCTATACATTAGATCTCTAGGCTTATTTATCCCACGTAACTAAAACTTTCTACCCTTTGACTTCCAACTCCCTATTTCCCTTCTCTATCCCTGGTCCCCTCCCCTAGTAACTACCTTTTCACTTTCTATGAATTCAAATTTTTTTTTCAAGTCTTTCCACTGCAGCTCAGTAGTAGCTCCACTCAGTAAAATCATGCAGTGACATTTTTAAGAAAATGTTTTTGAGAAAATAATAATTTGATTACCAACAGTTCATGTTTGCATTTGCCATACCACCCAACGCGTGGATAAGACCTGGGCCAGAAACAACAAGGCATACTCCCGGCCTAGAAGCAAAACAGAATTTATTTTATTAAAAACAGGTAAAATGTAACAACTGATTCATACCACTTTAGGGTGAAACATGGCAACCTTCTTGGACTTCAAAGAAAGAACATATAGTCTTTATTATAATTGATAAAATAATTATTAGAATATTTTTTGATATATAAAAGAGAAAGATCGTATCAATTTTCTTGCAAGAAATAAGGTACCTATCATCTTCACATTGTATTCCACTAACCTCTTCTTTTGCTCCTATATTTGGGTGAAATCAAGCTGATTGCATATAGAAGCAAAATGAGCACATTTTCATATAAAAAAGTCTTTTTCGTTTCTTAATAAATATTATGTCAATTGATTTCTGACAGAAAAGGAATTCTAAATGTAGTGCTCTGCCCAAAATATTTTTAAATTGAACTTGAATGCTTTACCCTAGACTTTACTTTCTAAGCTTAAAGCACTCATGGAAAAAGTATCCTCCATATAATTCAGTTTGCCATTTTACATTATAAAGTAATTTCTCAAAAATGTCTGCTTAAGACAGACTTTAAAATAAACTTAATTATCACCAAGTAAACTAAACTTCTAGAACAGTACTATCCGACAGAACTTTCTGTATACATATAATACAAATGTTTACATAATACAAATGTTTTATATCTGCACAGTCTGATATTGTAGCCACTACCCACATGTGGTTACTGAGCACTTGAAATGTGTCTACCCCAACTGAAAAACAATAGTTTAAATCTTTGGTAAACTATAGTTTAATTTTAATTAATTTAAATGTACATAGCCATATACAGCCAGTGGCTAATATACTAGACAGTGTAGTTCCACAAGTTCATTCAAATAGCAACATGTTTTAAAAGTATGAACTTTTGAGTATTCTCTAATCATTCTAGCATTTTTAAAATTAAGGTGTTAATGACTATAATTTAAATGTTTTTCAGGTTAAACAAAAAGATTACAATATTTCACGTATGTAAATAAAATGACAGAAAATGGTGAAGATAGTATTATTTGGATGGCCTATTTTCCTAGGCTCAAATCCAGAAGATTCCTATTAGATAAGGACTACTCCAGTGAGGTCTAGACTTTGAGACCTTATTAGGTCTCAAATTACTTAATTACTAATTTCATTTTTGGAAGTTAAAAAAATGTACTAAAGCTAACATAAGTGAAAAAGGTATGATACAAATTACAGTGGGAGTACAAATTTTGCTTAAAAAATACATGTGTATGTAGGGAAAAAAACAGAAGAAAATATGACAAACTCTCAACAGTTGTGGGATCATAGGTAATTTTAGTTTTCTTTTTTATACTTGTCTATATTTTCCAAGTTTTCTAAAATGAGCATTTTTAAAAAACATATTAATTTTTAATACTAAAAAGGGGGTGAGTAGTTACGTAACACGGATATACAATAAAAATCTGAACAAGTGGAACAAGCCCCAACAATTACATTTTTGGACCAGGCATTTTTGTACTGAGTGTGTTTGGGTAAAGTTGCAAGATCCAAGACATGGTATGACATCAACTCACTATCTGATCACCAGTGATTCACTCTGCAAAATGGCAACGTGTTTCACCCTAAAACACTTTTCTGGTATTATCATCATTTTGATCTGACCCTTAGAAAGTTCTAAACTTATTTATTTTTCTTTATTTTATTTATTTATTTATTTATTTTTTTGAGACAGAGTCTCCCTTTGTTGCCTGGGCTAGAGTGAGTGCCGTGGCGTCAGCCTAGCTCACAGCAACCTCAAACTCCCGGGCTCAAGCAATCCTCTGCCTCAGCCTCCCGAGTAGCTGGGACTACAGGCATGCGCCACCATGCCCAGCTAATTTTTTCTATATATTTTTAGTTGTCCGATTAATTTCTTTCTATTTTTAGTAGAGACGGGGTCTCGCTCTTGCTCAGGCTGGTTTCAAACTGCTGAGCTCAAACAATCTGCCCGCCTCGGCCTCCCAGAGAGCTAGGATTACAGGCGTGAGCCACGGCGCCCGGCCTAGCACTGGTTTTTGATATTCACTAATAGATTCATTTAAAGCTATTCCCTCTAAGAACTGCTTTAGTTATATGCTACAAGTTTGATATCTCATCTTTTCATTATCATTCAACTCAAAATGTTTTCTATTTTCCATTGTGATTTCTTCTTCAAGCCATCGATTAATTATGGTCTGTAATGATCAATATCTCCTTTTTTATTCCTGATATTGGTGATCTGTGTTTTCTCATTTATTCTTGATCAACCTAGCTTGAAGGTTACTGATTTTATTAATCTTCTCAAATATTTACAAAATACCACAATTGTGTTGCTTAATTTTCAGATGTTTGGGATTTTTTAGGGATCTTTCTATTATTGGGTTCTAGTTTATTCCACATGCTCAGGTTACATATACTGTACATTTTCGATCCTTGGTGATTCTTTGAGATTTACTTTATGGCCTGACTATGGTTAGTTTTTACTTTTTAAAGGTACTTCAGCTCATAATCAGGAATAAAGAAGAGGTGCTAAATTAAATTCAATACATATTAGATAATCTGGAAAAATGCTGAGTACTCTCTCAAATTCTTCTTAGTCTGGGATATTACTTTTTTCAGCATTATTTCTTCTCATTTCTTTAGAAATAACAATAAATTGGGTATTTTCTAGCCTTCAGTCAGCTTTAAATGAAGTAGTATACTGATGTGAAATAAATCCTTGTTAAGGATTTAAGGACATACATGTAAAAAAATAAAATAAATGTTTATGAATCATATCTTAACTGGCTCCACTATTATATACCCACTAAGAAGCTACACAAAGGCTCTGCTCTTTTTCTGTGTTGCTATTCTTTACTGGCCCTGTCTCTTTTCCCTTTTCCACATGAGGCCAAATTCGCGTAGAACAATAATAAAACAACTCCTAAGAAATTAGAGTACGTAAAACAAAATCCCTACTGCAATAAGAATGCTTATTTAGGCCAGGTGCTGTGGCTCAACCCTGTAAGCCTAGCACTTTGGGAGACTAAAATGGGAGGATCACTTGAGGCCAGGAGTTCCAAGACCAACCTGAACAAGAGTGAGACCCTATTTCTACAAAACAGAAAAATTAGCTGGGTGTGGTGGCATGTGCCTGTAGTCCCAGCCACTCAGGAGGACTGCTTGAGTCCAGGAGTTTGAGGTTGTAGTGTGCTATGATGACATCACTGCACTCTAGCCTGGGTGACAGAGTGAGACCCTGTCTCAAAAAAATAAAAATAAAAGGAACATTTACTTAGACATTGAGAAACATTGCCCCCTTATGACAGGTGGGTAAGAAATGTTACCATGCAATGCAAAACATAAAACAACATATAACAAAAAGCATAGTAGGTGTCAAAAGATGAGAGGTAACTGGTTTTATGACCGTAAAAAAATCTGTTTCTCTACCAAATTACCTACACTCACAGGCAGAATAGTGTACGGAGAACTTAAGAGAGCAGGCTCTGGAGCCAGTCTGTTTTGATTTCAATTCCAGCTCCCCTACTTTCTATTGTGTAATTTTGGCAAGATGCTCTGTACTTTGGCTTCCTGATCCATAAAATGAACATAATCCAAAGTATTGCTGTGAGGGTGAAATTGGCTCATACATGTCAAACACTCAGAATAGCATCTACACACAGTAAGCTTTCAATAACTGTTAACTTTCTGACAATCTACCTACTTGCTGGCCAACTGGTCAATATATGTCTTGATTACTCTAAGGATCTGATGAAAGACAGTCAAGTCCCACCTAACTACACCTTTCGCTTTAGTAGAAATGTCTTAGCTTGTTCTCATATTCTGTCTGAATCATCCTGTCACTACTCTTAGTTCAGGCACTATTTAAGTCTTCTTTTGACTATTACAAAGTCAGGCTGCCTGAGGGACATATGTACTGGGATGTCCCATAGGCATCTCAAACGCATATGTCCAAAATTGAACTCATCACCTTTCCCCTCCAAATTGGCTCTTCCCTCTGTAATCCCAATCTCAGTTAGAGATACTATGATCAACGTAGTCAGTCAAGGAAGACCAAAACTTAGGAAGAGCCTGTCTTCTTCCTAGTTGGTTAATGCCTAGTGAGCCTTCAAGACAGCTCAGACATCATCTCCTGTGGGAAGCTTTCCCTAAAGTCTTAAGCTTTCACAACACCCTGAATATATCTTTATCACAGCACTTATCACATTATAATAAGATTGTCTATGTCTGTCCACAGCTAGGTTATAAGCCCCTCAAAACTAGGTAATGATTATCATTAATCTCTGTATCCAGCAAACAACAGCACAAGGGACCTAAAGAACCCTCAACTAAGCTTATAGGGACTGAAATAAAACTTCAAGCTGGAGTCTGTCTTCTGGCTCCTACCTGCTGTCTATAGTACCATGAATATCACCTTTCCTTTCTTTTTTTAAGAGACAGGGTCTCACTATATTGCCCAGGCTGGCCTCAAATTCCTGAGCTCAAGCAATCCTCCTACCTCAGCATTCCATGTAGCTGGGACTACAAGGCACACACCACTGCACCTGGCATCATATTTCTGAAGTACAGACCTAATTATGTCTCCCACCTATTTAGAAAAACCTTTACAGTCTCCCCCATTGCCTATTGGAAAAAAGTACAAATTCCTTTTCTGGTTAGAAAGGATTCTCCACATCTCCCCTCAGCCTACCTACCAGCCTCACAGCCCCCCATGCCTTTAACAATCTTGATAGAACAGTATAAACTAACATTACCTCTACAGGCAATCTTCCCTGTCCTACTCAAAGAGAACCAGTCATCCCCTCTGCGCTACTACTGTTCCTCATAGGTACATCTGTTGTGAGAGTTATACTAGATAAGTTTTTTCCTGTATGTTTTGCCCTCACCTATATATACAGTATATAGTATACACTCCATAAATGTTTGCTGTTTGAAGAAGAAATCAGTGGCAGACATGTCACCTCTGGAAAACAATAAAATATAGGTTCCATTAATAGGTCAATAGTGTCATCTTCTCACACATATGAAAGAAAAGAATGTTGTTCCAACTAAGTAAAAGGTAGACCTTTTACTCAAGACCCGTTAGTTTTAAGATAAAAACAAAAATACAAACCTCAAACCTTATAGATAAGGAATGTCATTCAATTAATAAATAATGTATTAAGTATCTACATCATGCAAAAGCTCCAATCAAGCCAGGCACTGTGGGGATATGGTGACAAATGAACCATAATTTCTGCTCTCCAGGAGCTCATATCTGATAGCAGAGGAAGGGCACCATTTAAGGGGGTCGAGGCAGTTGTCTGGGCAAAAGGGGGTAAGAGCCTAAATTAGAGGGCAATAGTTGAGAGTGTAAAGCAGGAATACTTAGCCTCAGACAGACTGACAGCATGTGACATCACAGAAGTGGATTCTTGATCTTTTAAGCCAGCATTGCTGACAGAAGAGTGAGAAGTGGGTTTGCAGAGGATGTACTTAAAGTGGGTTGATAAAATGTCATACCTTCCTTTCCCTGTTTCCAAATATGCCTCTAAGAAAGGTGGTAGCATGATGTGATGGAAAGAGCACTAAACTAGGATTTGGGACATCTGAATTTCAATCACAACTTTATCATATATGATGATATCCTTCACCAACACAATACAGTACAGTAGGAAGAGCATGAACTCATACCCAGGATACCTGGGTTCGAATCCTGGCTCTGCCACTACCTGCCGCATCACCCCGGACAAGTTTTACTTAACCTGTGTGTCCCTTTTCTCATGTGTCAACTAGGATCAACAACAGTTAATAATAATCAACAGTGACTGATATGTGTAAAGCACTAGAATAGTGGTAAGCACTGAATGTTTGCAATGAATATCTGCCATTGTCACTGGTCACTCCCAGCAATGCATTCGTCTACCTGCATCCATACTCACCGCTTGCTCATTCCTCATTCCGATGTACCTGATGCCCAGCTCCTGGGCAGCAACGGCGATTTCGGTTACTGGGATGCCTACAATGCCAAACATGTACTCCACACCCTGGGGAACAAAGAACAGGGGAATAAACATCGCCACAACCTTCCCTCCCTTCGGCGCGCTAAAAGGAAAATCTCGCACAAACCTTCCTTCCCCCTTCCCGCCATCCCTCGGTTCTACTCCAAGAACAGTGTCTGTCTCCAAGACACCACATCGGTCCCCCCCCCGCCCCGGCTTCCGTAGGAGCCTTTCTCTTCAGGAGGGTCGATCGTACTTGGGTTTTCAGGGCCTGGGCGATGACTTTAGCACCAGACACCTGCCCCTCACTTCTGTAGCTGCGCTCTGCTAAGTTGCTTTCCGGCATCTTCCACCTAAAAGGCCAAGGCACTGTCGCAGCTGACAGCCGAGCTGACACCGAGACCAGGCAAAACCAACCCGAAGACACACGCTTGCCTCTGACCGACAGGAGGCGGGCAACCAACCGCTTTAAAGAGGCGGGGCTAACTTCGTGCGCGCTTGGGGAGAAGGGAGTATGTAATCACGCCCGTTCTCCAATCAGAACCGTGCCCTGTCCCCGGCTCCTCCACTCGCGGGGTCAGAGTGCCAGAAGGAGGTGGGACCAGCAGGAGGCCGCGGCCTATGCCGAGGAGGTAAGAAGCCGAACCTCGGAGGCCTCTCACCACCGTCTCGGACTCTCCCAAGAGTTTTCTGGACCGCCAAGTGTGAGTGGCGCATGCGCACAGTCGGCTGGAAGGCGGGCTAGGAGCCGGGGCGGGAGTGGGCGTGGCGCCGTGTGCGATCCTGGCCCCGCCCCCGCCCCGCCTCCCCAGGGGCTGCTGGGACCCGGGTGGCTGGAGCGCGCATGAGGGTAAACCTAGTCACCTTTGGGCGGTGGTGTGTTACCGCGTCCTGTTTTCTAGGCTTTCACTTACACGCTTTGTGGTTTACACTTTCATAACTTCGTGGCTTTGCACTCCGGAATCATCATAACGCATATTACTTAAATCTGTAAGCAGATGTGTGCTCTTTATCCCCGTTTTGTATTTGAAGGCACAGAGCTTCCCAGCAAGAGATAAAGTAATTTACCCAGAGTCATTGGATCCAGGCCATGCTTCAGACTCCGAATCCCGTTTCGTATTCACGCTGTTCAGCCCTTGGGTCACAATACTTTGAACCTACTTAGTTTTGAGCGCTATGCTCTCCAGCCCTTGCTACTAACCCACGTTACTCTCCATTATTATCTTTCCAAAGTCAGGAAATATGGCTTTTCATAATTCTTGGATTCAGTCCCTGCCTATAACCAACATCTGCTGCACCCGACAGCATTTTAAAACATTTTTAGTGAAAAAAGATGGTTGCAATGTGCGATTTCTGAGATTACCAGCTGAGAGTCATTAGACCATCTATCTGCTCAGTAACAATAAACAAAATCTTCAATAACATAGAGTGGAGCTTTAATTTTTGAGGATTTGAAGTATTAAGCAAAAAGACCAGTGATAGGTGGATGGTAAAGAGAAAAGAAGAGAGGGGAGCTGGTCATGGATAGTGAAATTAATGAGAAGCATTGGAAGTGAAAAGATTTTTAAACCCAGACATTTTCACACTGTAGTCCTGGGCCCCTCCGAAAGGTCTTCCCCTCTGTTTCAACCCTTCATCCCACCCCAAGCAAAAGAGAATGAAATTGTTGCTCCCCTGGATATAGGGGCCCCTCGAAGATGGAGATTTCTTTGAAGTTTCAGAGTTTATCTTAAATGTAGATTTTGCATTCCATTCCAGAATGTATCCACATTTAATTTAAAAATAGCACTTTACCGTTGGTCCCAGTGCAGTGGTGTTTTCAGCTAATTGATCACAACCAGTTACAGATTCCTTTGTTCCTTCTCCACTCCCACTGCTCCACTTGACCAGCCTTTAAAAATAAATAAG